GGAAAATTGCCATGTATGTTAGGTCCGTCTCATTCGAAGCTTCGGAGCACCCAGAACATAGCGGCAACGTGACCGTGTCCACGGTGCCCTACAACAGCTTGAATATACGTGTAAACCACGGTTGTAAACAGCCCGCCACTGCTGCCTTCACTAGTGCTGCTGAAAACACATTTAAACACATAAACAACACGCCCATGTGGCTGTCACCGGAGCCGGGTGCTCCGAAACACCAGACCTGACATTCCCCACGCACAAGAATGGAGGAAATGAGTGCTCAGATGCTAACACGGCGCTAGCACTATTACATACACACAAGCGAAGTTGTATGTGTATGTGTCCATGTCAGTGCTAACGCTAGCCACTAGCTGAAATTTTCAAATGTTATTAATTAATTTATTGATTTAATATTAAATGGCCACCACAAACACTTTGTGTTTCCATGGTTTCTGACCTTCCACCAATCACTAACTGTGCCATGCTAGACGTCATATACAGGCGCAGGACCCTGAGCCGATCTAGTACCTGCGGAAATTACATTCTTTGATTGTTTATTTATTTATTTCATCGTATTTTGTGGAGAAAAATAAAAAATTCAGACATTTGAGAACAATGGAATGTGTCATCAGAGCTTTTCTGACAAGGTCATTAAAATGTACGAAAAATTACAACAAAAAGTCGTTGCATCATACCGTCTTGAACTGAGCCGTACTATATCGAATCAAATCATAATCCCACTGAATCGAACTGAAGCAAATCATTCCACTTCCAAATCAAACCGTCCTTGAATCAGCTTGCGCCCAACATATCAAAAAAACATATTGAATTGCCGTTTGCGGAGATGCACAACCCTAATGGCCATTGAAAAATGTTAATGCTGCACAACACCCCCATCCATATATCTTAGTGTCACCAAAATTGGAACATGAACTGTCAAAACTGGGCATAATCAACTGATTGGTAAGAATTTGACTGGCTGTATGAAGTCACTCCTGATGAATCCTCTTTTGAAGTAATTGCGTATGTTTAGCGCTGTTTGGCTATAACCTGTGAAGGCCCTGTCGATTCAGTTCTAAAAGTCTCAGCTACTACAGGATGTTGAGCGAAAGCCAAGAATACCTTCACTAAAAAAAAAAAAAAAAAAAACACAGAGCGACACTATGGTATTCAACACTTAACATTCATTCAGACAGAGATTTCCATGAGCGTGACAAGATTTCTCATAATGACAGTCTGTGAATCTGGTTGGTTGAATCTGGTTGGTTCGTTTCTTCTGCTATTCTGGAAACCCTTATCCGATTGGCTAACAACTTGATGTCTAATATATCAACCAATAAACTCATACTTGCTGTAATTCCAAAGAGTTCTCCAAGTCAACGCCTCAAAATTAATATTATGCTCCAAACGGGATGACTTGCCCTAAAATCACGACTAAAAAGCGCGAATGGATCATTATTCAGCAGGCGAGCAGTGTGGGCAGTAGATGAGGCCATGTACTTTAGTCATCCATTTTTTTTCCTGAAAATATTTGTGATGGGAATTTTGGAGGCTTTTAAAATGCTCATTCTATTTTTTTTTATTCCACCTTACAACTTTCATCCCATTAAACATAATTAGTGATAAAAAAACTGAAATTACTCATTGAATTTATCCTTCATTTTCCCTTTAAATTTCCATTACTCCTTTAAACTGATGAACTGGCTTGCACCTGGATCTATTAGGTACAAGTGTAGCGTGAAGAAGCCAGGAAGTGTCAAAGGTATCTGAAAAGAACAGATTTGGCAAATGCACTCAGTATAAAAATACAAATTGCATCCAGCAGTTCTGTTCAAAATATCCACTCTGGCAGTGTATGTCAAAGAAGCAAATCAGGCTCTAAAAAGCAAAGAGACCCAAAAGCCAAGCGGGGGTACAACATGTCTGCATATCAACCCAAATGTGCTTTTCCAGGAAGAAAAACAGTCAGAGTTGTCAGGGGATCGTCTGCGTTACCCTTTTCCCGCACATTCACTTCTAATTGAACCTCACTTTGGCTCAAGCACACGGTCCCTCTGCCCAGTAGAAGACAAGCCAACTATGAGAAAGAGGACGTCTAAGTTTGCAGCTTCCGACTTAAAAAAGATTTATGGTTAGAATATACGGCCAAGATGGCCAAGGTAATAAAACAATTTAATTTACCCTGCTCACGAGAAATGAACCGATGCTGCTGCGACTAATTATTTACACATGGTAAACTAACATTTTCTCAAGAGAATTTTAAACTGGATGTTTGCAACAACATCAAAGTCTTTGCACCTGTGTGAACTGCGGGTGCATGCGCACATTTCCTCAACTCCAAAAACAGGCCAGTTGTGCTGCAACACACTCAATAAACGTGACCGAAATGCTGAATGCTATGAACCCATAAACATTAGGTGAGTAACAAAAACAATTGTGAATTGGGAAATTGATTTTGATATGAGGAACCAAATCAAATTTTTACATACATAAATCATCGCATCCTTGAATCATATCGCACCCCATGTATCGAATCGTCTTACTTTGTATATGGGAGACGTACACCAGATATAACTGTATGAATCCTTTTGACGTTGCTGATGATTTGTTGTTTCTTTGACTACAATTAACTTTCAATAGTTTGGCCTTGGGAGAGCTTTTACAGATTATTGTTTTTTTAATAAACATGACAAAAGCGACAGCTGGACCATATTGAATCAAATTGAAATGCTCAAGAAAATTGGAGAAAGTGAGAATTAATTAACTTAAATCCTCAAACTTGTTCGATTCCTAAAACTTGTTCGATAAACCCTGAAGCAGCATTTGGGATGAACCTGTTGACCGAAAAACCAAGATGTTTCTCACCCCCCGCCCCTTCCGGGAATCTACTCAGTCAGAATTTATTGCTCATATTGAGCAATTAAATATTAAGCCCCACCTTCCTGCAGGTCTGACCGAACAGACATTGGCTGACTTTGGTTCAGTGTTGATACATTATTGGATGAAATAGTGATCTATCATTACAGCTGGTTAGTCATAACGTCAATCACCATTTGTACACACAGAGTATAGTACAACAGGGTTAATTTTAATCATATGCCCAAAATACTATACTTCTGGCCAAGTAACCACACCCTGGTAAAGCACGTAACTTATTTTTGAAGGAAACTAACATTTCATTTTAATTTGCGCCAAGAAACTAACGAGTTTATTTGATTTTCTGAAAAAAAAGAAAAAACAATATATATATATATATATATATATATATATATAAATACACACACACACACACACACACACACACACACACACACACACACTCTTGGCAGTCACAGCAGAAATGCAAACATCAAGCTGACTGTTCCTTGTGGTGGCTGTTCACCAGTCTGGTCATTTTTCCGAGATTGCACAGTCAAAACGCACGAATACAGACAATCACAGTCATGTACGCCAGAAATCCCTGCCGTTTTGCAATCATATTATCCTTTCCTATTAATTTCCGAAAGGAATGCTGTTGTCACTTTTAAGTCATCTGACTGTCTGAGGCTTGTATTGTGAGCCAGGGTGATAACGCAGGAGAGTCCAAACACAGGCACAGCTTCAAAGCTGTGCAGCCCGACTTCGGGGACCAACTTTACGTGGTGTCGGGCAAAAATAAGAGTCCTCGATCACATCGACACAAGCGTTTTTTCCCCCCTCTTCTTTCTCCCTCTCAACTTCTACTCGACGCACATCTGCTCGACAAAAACAACAGCAGCAGCAGCAGAATCTTAAAACCCTTCAAAATCATCCCATCTACCCTTGAACCGGCTGAATAATGTCAATATCAATGTGTGTGTGTTGCTTTCAAAATAAACTACCCTAACATAACCAACACACCATCTGTTTGACAAACAGAGACGAAAGCAGAAGGGCCTCTGTTGCTCACCTGCTGGACTTCTGTCTCTCCGTTTGATGTCTTCTCGGTGTACACAAACGAGTTGAAAATCCTCTGCAGAGAAACAGATCGGGAACAAGGTTAGTTCAATATTTGGATCCGATTCCCCAAAATTCAATTGTGCACCAGCTTGTGTCATTCTTGATCTGCCTGCTCAAAAATCATTTGGATGTCAGATTTTGATGATTTGAGGTTCATGCGAAGCAAAAGAATAGCAGCTTTGTGGAAAGTGACAATCTGAATTTCAAAAATTTGACAGAGATATCATCGTATTCAACTTCAAAGTTTTTGAATGACATCACACTCAAATTTGCTGTCTAACCAGGAGCATTGATATGTAAAGTTGCACTACGAAGACTGGAAAATCTCTAAATGCAAAAAGTAAGACTTGTAAATACAGTGATCCCTCGCTACTTCGCGGTTCGTTTATCGCGGGTTCAGTGCATCTGGGATTTTTTCAAACATTAAAAAAACATTTTTTTTTTTTTTTTTTACATATACATGGAGTACAGTACTGTATATGTTGCTCTATGTGACTCGCTGTTGTTTTGCAGCTTCTCGCGGACTGTTTGCGGACTTAAAAAAAAAAAATTTTTTTTTTACCTGTTTATGTTAATTGGACGCTATTAACATTGCGGATTTTCATTTATCGCGGGTGGTTTTGGTCCCCATTAACCGTGATAAACGAGGGATTACTGGACGTCACTTTTCTCAAGCATCAAACATTTTTAACTGGAGATGTCCCTGCGCTACAGACATTTAAAATAAACACCTGGATTGTTTTTTAGTTTTTGTTGTTATTTAACGTTTATTTATTCAGGTCAGGAAAATGAGAACACATTCTCACTTGCAACAGGGGGGCTGCTGAGAGCAGAGTAGAACGACACATTTTGCATTGCTTCACTTGTATAATTTAAAAGCATTAATTTACAAAATCTAAATGAGGTATGGACAGGGGGGGGGGAAATCCATAAAAATGACAAGGAACATATTCTTTTAAGCACTGTAAAGACAGCATAACCATATTATTGATCTTCGAACGTTCCATCAAACACAGAACTTGTGCTGAGGCTAATGAAAATATTAGCAGGCAACTAGCCAATAGCTTCCCAAGACAACTGTCCCTCTGTCAGATATTGAATCAGCCACAATGTGCGTCCTTTTCAGATGCTCATGCTCTTGCCTCACCGTCATGCTGTCTCACATCAAATTCTTCAGTATTTTGAGGGGAATGCGCCCTAATTTTCAGGCTCTGTTGCTAACAGCGGTTAGCCATGATACTATTTAGTCATAGATCGTCCGTTTCCATCACAGATGACCCAGATTATCACGACTGTGGCCAGCGGGAGATGAGGCAGTTTTGAGAGAAAACAAATGTGTTCCCAAAAAATTAAATGAGGACATCCAACATTAAATGGTTGAAGATTTTGATCAGATATATTATTATGACTAGTTGAATAATCTTGGCAGCCCTAACACACACACACACACACACACACACACACACACACACACACACACACACACTCTTTCGACAGCCAGCACTAATGTTTGTGCTGGGGCAGCAGGTAAGCACGTGATTCACTGTAAGCAACACCACTACACAACGCCTAAAATTGCCTGGTTCCACTGCAGCCTTTTCCTACCACCTTTTAGACATAACACAGAGCAGCACTTACATTGCACTACCCACGCCTAATGAACCTGATTCCTTTTAGATTGTTATCATTGGCCGTGAACTTTCTCACCTCCGAGTTAAAAGCAACGCTAACTCACAGATGTCAGCTAGTGTCGTTCCAGATGACTTTCTAAACATCAGCTGAATTTGAAGCATTGCTTCCACCAGCTCTTGAGGGAAAGTGTGTCAACCTTGAAAAACATCAAAATTTGAACCAAACGTTTCCCATGTTTAATGAATTGCCAAACAGTGTATTGTTGTTTTGCACCCTTGACGGAATATATATATTTTTAAAAAGGACAGGGGTACAGGGGTTTTTCAAATGTCAAATAAACAAGAACAAGCAAACACAAACAAGATTAAAACTGAACCAGAAGAAGAACTCCTGCTGTTGATTCACCGTTTATTCCCTCTGGTTACCCCAGTGTTTGTTGTTGGAGCTGCGTTGTGGTTTTCACAGCTATGGTGCAGCCAGGGAGGAATGCTCGCCTCTGAAACCTGAGAGGGCTGAAGTTGCCTAGGTCACCGTGGGCCCGTGGTCTCCCTTGACCCACAATCAAACACTAAATTGTCCACAGCCGCTCAGAGATACAGTACAAAAACACTACGGATATTTAAGACTGACCCAAGTAGAAGGCATGCTCTTGCTCATGTCTGCACAATACAGAGACAAAAAGACAATTCAGATATTTCAGTTAATGTCAGTCTCAAAGCTAAAGAAAGAATGTAAATATTAAATGGGGAAAAAAGTGATTTGACAAGTAGCAATCAATTTAGATGGTACATTTCTAAGAATCAAATTCTGACTAAAAGGGAGCGACATTCAAGATGCACTCGACAATAGCTCCAAATAGCTCACTTTGTTCAAACTCTTCTCCATTGATAACAGGGCGGTCTCATTTGTCTCAGTAGGCTAGTTCTTAAATCCCTCCGCCTAGGAGTTAATCTAACCACAGATGACTGGCTGAAAGGAATTCTCCATTTAAATAGCAACCCCAACTGCACAATATAAATGTCATTTCCCAACTCTATCTTGCTTCACTCATTCTGGTGGGCCAGATATGAGGATTATGTTTTATTCCAAAGGGGTCAAACGGGCAGTTGAACCAAGGAAACCAGTCCTTCAGATGCATTCCTTTTAATTGGGTTCTCAGATGCCAGGCTCTGAGAAGCTTGGATACAATGAACTCCAGCAAGGGATTCTTCTCCTTTCGAGTGATTATTTTATTCTTGTTGTGTATCCGGAATTTAGTCCAAAAATGACCAGTCAAAGAGCAAGCTGTCTTGTCAGATCCATGTATGAACCGTGACGGCAATGGAAATAAGGAAATGAAGGAAACTACTAAAATGGCTCATGAGGGATGACAAGGACATAACTGAGTATTACTGCGTGCCACATTCTTTTGGAGTTGGGTTCAAGCGCAATAATCCTGTCCCAAGGGTCTTTTGATCAGTAAGCCATGCCTTCTTGTGAACACACAAAATGGCACAATGGGTCTATCGCTTTGCTTTGGTGGGGCCCAACGAAATGGATGTGTGCTTCGTCGCCGTGCTATGTACTTTGTAGAGTGAACCCATAGTGTAGCCCCACTCATATGGAGACTCATAAGTATAAGCTGAATGCATTGCATTGCTCGTTCACTATTTTCAGCCATTTTCCTTTGGTGCATGCCTTTTCTTTCTACTTTCTTCCCTACCTCCCTGCTGCCAGCCAACTCTCCACTCATTGCACTACAAACAGCCAAAGTCAGGAATGCAGCATTAGGCTTTGCCTCTGATGCAATCCTCCCGTTTTCTGCGACCTTGTGGCTTGACTTTCTCCCTACCCTTACTTTCCTCAACTACACCCCCCCCCCAAGCTAGAGTAAAAAAAAACTGACGCCAACTGACAGAATAGAAAATGCACATCTTGCTCTTTGCAAAGCAAAACAGGAAAAAGCTATTTGTAGTACCAAAATACACAACCACAGAGAAAAAGCGCATTCAGGTTTTCTGGGGGGGGGGTCAGAAAAGGTACAGCAGCAGGAACTCAGAAAATACATTTTTGAGTTATTTTATTGGCGAACCGTATCTTAATTGCAAATTTGGATTAAGTGGTCATCTCAGACCTGGCAGGTTACATATTTAATCTCCCGTCAATCCCATCATCCTACTTGAGCAAGATACTCAACACCAATTTGTTGTTGACAGTGCATCAGAAACTGTATTTCTTCTCATTTTCTTACACATCAGCATACGCACTTGACAATTTTGTGTCAAGGGTGAAAAAGAAAATGGAGTGGCTTTAAGGTTGATACAGTATTTGCAAAATAAATGCATCACATTGCCCATAAATTTGAAATGATGCAAAGCCATCAGAGCAGAGGTTTGGTGCATATAAAAAGCAGAGGAAGAAAGATAAGAGTGGCTCTCTAAATGTCACTTATAACGACCGTAAAGAAAGCGAAGCCTTGATAAATTATTCTGTCTCCCTTTCAATCCGGTGGAACAGGTTGACTAATTAATTGAGTGGCCAACAGAGTCTGCCAACTGCACTCTTGCATTTTGAGGGTACTGGGGGGGTCAATTTAATTTGCGTCAATCGAAGTACCAGACAACCTCAGACAAAAGCATCAAAGTCCAAGCCCACAAACACCGGACAGGTTTGTGGATAGAGTGTGGTAGTCAAAGGACTGGGACGAAAGTGGTCTAATTGACTTAATATTCCTTCGACATTTGTAACCATTGGTGCATGTGAAATGTGCAATGTGACTTGAATCGAAGTCAAGTCTCAACATTAATTTTAGGTTTATTCTCCTCAATATATAATCTTGGTGTCATAGTAAATTCACATAATGGATAAAACTACTAATTTGTCGGTGTGTAAAATAATTTTGTCGTTGAAGCAAAATTAAACTTTTATCGGGGGGGGGGGGTATTTCAACCTGTAGAAATGGCACTAGGAGTCACAAGTGTTTTTTGCTGTTGCTGTGCTGACAAGTGACTTTTCCCCCCAACATCTCACTAAGTCAAATAGCTAATTTGTACCCTTGCCCTTGCAATGGGTGCAATGCAGGGCCATTCTGAAGCTCAACCTCACAGGTTCATTTGGATGCCGTCATTGTAAACACACACAGAGGAAGATGTCAGATGTTTGGAGCTGGAAGGTAATGATATTATACTGTGTCCCCCCGTTGTTCTTTCAAAAATACAGTCGTTTGTGTACTGGTCACGTGTATTGGCAATCAGCACGTGGCTAACGAGATAGCTGTGTACACAGGTGTTTTCCCCATCATTACTGTATGACGTACATAGCACCTCTGCTCTACAGTACAAATAGACTCAATACAGTAAGTATTCATATTTGTCCAATCTTTCCTTAGAACAGAATTTCCTT